TACTATTTTTCTTTTTTATTTCTATAATAGGATAACAATATGGTACTTTCTCGTGTTATGATTATTCGGAAATATTACATAACGGTATATTACAATTTTTACTTTAAGTTTAATTTTCGAATGTTTTTTTTTGTTGCTCCAAATTTCGTAAAACAAACATCATTTAAAAGAACAAAAAAGCATATAAATAAAAAAAAGAAGATTTCAAAAATTTCGCGACAAAATTATTGTGGGCATGTCAAACGTTTGAAAGGAGCATAAAGAATTTAAACAAAAGAATAACAAAATAAGTAAAAACGTTTCAGTCGGTATAAACCGATTGAATTATTAGCAGTTACTCGAATCTGTGAAACCATTCTATAGAAACTTCAAAAATATGTCTGACCCATAATTGGACACACGACTGCCAAGTTTCATGAATCTGACTTTATCATTTTTCCAAATATTTAGAATAGGCTTTTGGACTTGTTAGGAGCTACTCAAACCTGTCAAGAAATTCCACAAAATCTTCACAAATATATCACATAGCAAAAATTTAAGAAGAAAATATGTATAAAATCGGTTCAACTGTAAAAGAAATCGGCGAATTTTATAATAAAGAATTTTAAGGAGGTGAAATAAAAAATGAAATCAAGTTAAAATAATTTAAATATAAAGAACGATAAACAAAAATAAACAAACAGAGCGCAAACGAAAAACTGTAGGAACGTGCGAAAAATTTTATAAAGATGATTGAAGAAAACAAATAACGCATATTATGTCAGTTAATTTTAACCGCGTTTTTATAATTGACTATTATATTTATAATAATTTAATGCCATCACCATATTATATCAGATGAAATTATTTTCCGAAGTAATATCTATAAAGTAAAAATTTGTAAGACCAGTGCCTTGAGATTTGCATTTCGATTTCTTCCGATTGAAACATATTTTGTTAAATTTCAGACCACTACCCTAGTTAAATAAATTTTAACTAATTATAGTTAAATTTTTTTTCTTCATTTAAACTCTAAACATTTTTTTAAAACCATAAAAGGAAAATGAGAATCGCTTTCTTTACGCGGTGGTCTCTTACTAACCTGACAAAGGCAGTTTTTATTTTTTTAATTCTTTTGTTTAAATATTTTTCGAAAGCCTCCTACAAGTAAAATAATTATTTATTATTTATTATTATTATCCGAACTTTAAATAGAAAACTTTACTCTGTAATTCAGTACTCTATCCTTCCATTTGGAAGCTAAGGAAGGTTGATTGTGCTCGAGATCGCCGATTTTTGGTACACGCAATAATTTAATTTTCTTGAATCACAGAAGCAAGTTATTAATTATAATTAAATCACACAAGCGAGCTATTGATTTTATTATATTCCTTCATTATTGAATTATAGGAACTTTTACACAAAGCTGACAGTATAATTCATTTAGACATAAAAAATGATTTTTATACAATTAGATTATTTTAAATGAAATTTTCAAAATATTTGATACTTTTACATTAAATCTGTTTTGCAAAGTATCATTATTGAAACAGATGTGTCGAAAATAGGTGAAATAAGTTGAAAATAAGAAAAAAATGTATAAAAAACAAGTAAATAAATAAAAATTCTATTTTAAAAAATGGCACGTAACAAAAAAATTAGATGATATCCTTAAGAAGCTTAAGTTGAATATAGAAAAAGAATATAGTAAAAGTACGAAATACTCGTAATACGGTGAAAAAAAGAAAATGAATATAAAAGCAGTTAAATTAGCTTACCTTTATTAAACACGTTACTACAAAAGAAAACTCAACACTGCAAATCTCCTGTACAGTTTAATATACATAAGTATATACAAAATGTAAGTTGTGAGTGTGTGGTTTATGAATAGCGAAAGTTGGAAAGTTCTGATAACATGTTTTTTTTTTATATTTTTGTTTTGCTACACGATTTCAACATTTTGATAAAAAGAACTCAATGATTTTTTTTGTTTAAAATAATCGAGTTGTTTTTCTCTTGTTAGTTTTTCTTGCAATTCTAGATCAAGTGCTATTGTTGGGTAATTTCCAACTTAATACACAAGTGCTACTTATGCATATTGTACATGCTGTATTAATGTTATTATACTTTTATACATATATTGTTAGAGTGTAGTGTAATGAAGTGTAACATTAAGGCTTTTCTTTTTATCTAATATTGAAAAGAACACGCATTTTCTTTTATACCTATTATTTACTTATCTCGATCTTTATTACCAAAAAAAGCGAAAGGTCATTTTAAACTCAACATTTTTTAGATATAATCATAATTTAATTTGACGGTAATATAAGCAAATATTATTTTAGCATAAAATTATTATAAGCTTTTGGTAATCAATTGGGTAGAGAACCATTAATGTTTTTTACGTTTATTTTATATGTAATTTATTGTAGAAAGTGTATATTTACAGCATAATCGCGTATCTCGCTTTTTATTCACCTTTTACTCACTTTTAAATCAGAATTTTTTATTTTTCTAATGAATATTTAATTTTTCCAATGAAACTACTCATTTTACAATTGGATTTTTTTCATTTTTTCTCAAATTATCGACTGAACGTGCCACTTTAAAAAAACAAGTAAATTATTTTTTTTATAAGATTTTGTTATAAAATTGTGTTACTAAATTACATTTAAAAAGAAAACAAGATACGATATACCGAAAAATTCTTCTCACTCGAAAATTACATTATAAAAAAATACTCACTTTCTTTTCCCTTGCCGAGTAAAATGGCGAAATAGACGATCAGGCACTAATTTGCAAGAGTAAATTAAATTCAAAATATAAATAAAACTTTAATATATATGTATAGCACAGACATACCAAAATTATATTTTCTTAGTTATAGTGTTGCAAAATGTTTTAGTGAAGAATTTATTTTAGAAGTTTGTGTATGATTATATAAAGAAAATTTTCAAGCCATTAAAATATTCTATTTTACCAAAAGTTTTTCTGATTTAGATATAAAACAACAGAGAGAATTATAGAAATATCGTATATTTTTTTGGTTAGATTTCAATTTTATTTTTTGAAAAATTTTCTACGTACCAAAGCAAATTTACAGTTTTGTGGAATTTTTAATGAAATTACTGTGAAATTTTGCACCAAACGATATTTTTTAAGAGTTCATCAAGTTCGAGAAAAATTGTTGGATAGACTTTCATATACACTGTGGTACACTTAAGGATAGTTGGAAATAGTATTCAATGCACATTTCAAACTTAGTAGATTTGTTTTAAACTAATGGCTAATGAGCTTAAATCAGATTTTTGATCTTTTCATTTCATTCATCTTGAAACCTGCTTTTGATGTGTACTCTGTGATTAATATTTAAATACACTTTTAGGTTCTCTACAAAAATATTGGAAACTTATAATTTAAGAATATATGTAAATACAAAATTTCCGATATCAAGCCTGAAGTTTTGAAATTTAATTATATCCTTTTTAAAGTCCTTAAAAAAACGTAGAAAAGATAAAAATATATCCTAATAAATTTAATTATCGAATAATGATTTTAAAAGTTGATTAACAAAATAGAAGGTGAATTTAAATATCTTGATTGACCAAAACTATGTCAAACATTTTGGAAACAGTACGACGACATTGATTAAAACATTACAAAATGTAATGAAAAATATATCAACTAATACCAAAGTCGTTAAAAATTTAAGATTGTTCAACACGAACAAAAAAAAATTTTTCAATATCTATAATTGAGGACCAAAGATTGGATGTATAAAAATGATTACTTGTAAAAACACTAACAAAACTCTCTGTGAGTTGATGAGTACTGGAGTATATATAATAATAAAATTCTTTTTCTTTTCTTTTTTTCTTTTTACTAAGAATTTAAAAAAAAATTGTAGAGCAAAAACTAGAAAAGCAATGTTACATATAATATGTGCATGTGTCCGTCTAGGGCTCTAGGCAAATATTCATTTAGTATAATATGTTTGTCTATATTATATGTATATAAATATACATAATGTATGTAGTTATTTTGCTTTTAAAAATGTACATGTCAATCGTATGTACATATTGATATTTGCTAACATAGTGATGTACCTTTATCTGTATGTACATATACTGCTATGTATGCATGTCTATTGTATAGCTAAAATATGTAAAGAACAGAAAAAATTTTAAAGTTTTAGAAAGTCTACTGCTTTTATAAAAATTTACCATATAAATATTTATTAAAATGACTTAAGGAGAACAAATCTAAAGTGGGCAACACATAGCCGGCCGCAATGTATATTGTCTAGTGTAAATGTTGCAAAAGATTATGAAAATGGTTTTCAAACACTTTACAATTTCAAGCAAAGTATATCTACTAATAAGTAATTCGACTCGTTCCATTCCGTTAGTTTTCGTTTGCATCTTGCTTCCAAATTCTTAAAATATTCCATTTTTTTGTAGAAATAGATGGTAATAAGAGTTGTGTAGGCAAGAAAGAAACAAAATATTGTTAACAAACGAGTGTATCAAAAACATTGAACTAAAATAAAATTAAATTAAGTTAGGTAAAAATTTTGTTATTTTTATTTTGATAATAACAAAATTTATTTTTCATTTTATAAAACTTAGGTAAAAAATTCGAATGTATGAAAGCAAAAGAGTTTGAAATTTCATGTATGAATGTACACATGCATGTACCTGGTACAGTAGATGTAGGTGTTAGGTAGTGACATAGAAATAAAGTAATTTATAAAGAAAAAAAGGTACTGATTACTTTATGAAATATAATTATTACCGGGAAATATATTATTCATGGCAAATATGTTCTAAATTTATTAAGATTGAAATAAAAATAAAAAATTTAAAGATAATTTATTTATTTTATTTATTAATTACAAACGCCTAACACTAAATATTTAAAATATTTTCAAAAGTACATATTTACCTCTTCACATCTTTTGGCAACAAATGAAATTTTCGTGCCGGCTTTTTTTCATCCCAAACACTTCAAATAATGTTTACCCATTTTTATAAAAAAAAATATTTTTTTCACAACTATTTAAATTTTTTTTTACTATTGTACGTCTTTTCAAAATTTATTTTTATTATTTGTAAAAATTATATTATATAAATTATAATATTTTTTTTAAACACTTTTTTTCTTCTTCGCTTTTATAATATAATACACATTTTTTGCCACCTTGTACTGGAATGAATTACAGAAATTATTGTGTCGCTTTTAAAATTCTTAATATTTTTCCCTATACTTTATATAGGAACAAATAATAAAGTGTCGCCTTTCAAAATTACATTATAAAAAAACAGGTTGACATCTATTGCGTACTATTTCCCTCTCCCAAAAATTCTTATGTGTATAAAAATGAAAATAAGAAAGTATACTAACTAAGGGAATTTTTTGTATACAAATATTGGTGAGTGATTGCATTAGTGTGATGTAAACGGAGAGTCGAACTACTTGTTAGTAGATATACTTTGATTTCAAGGACACTAGCAAGCTTTTAGTTAACATACATAGAAAAGTGTAAATTTGGAAGACTTTGTGTCACTCGAATTTTCTGAAAAAGTTCTCCAGTTAGTTTCGGTATCAACCAGAGCTCAAACGTCAATTTTCAAGAAATTCCATCTATCCGCTGATATGATATAATAATCTTATATAATAATACCAGGATCATAACACCCAGAATCAATTTTCTGTGACTGAAGCATGTATTTTTTTGATTAAATTATTTTGGATAGGGTTTACTGGTCGCTTCAATGCAGGAATCCACGATGTGTTTTTTTACCAAATTTACCAAAGCTGATTTTCTTCAAAATAAAGTGCGTATGTAGCGCACGAAATATATTAGCGAAAAATAAAAGTATTTTATTCCGAATAAAAGGAAGTTTTCTTTTCATACCAATATAAAAAAAAAAAGAATTATATTTCAGAATTATCAACCATTGAAAAAAAAAAATTTTTAAATATCTTTGTAATTTTTGTTATTAATCTTTCATTTTTGTTCTATCAAAAATGAATTGAAACTGAAAATAGCCGAGATTTGGAAAAATATTCCTCCATCTGTCACTAAAAAGTTAGTTGAATCAATGCTAAGACGATTAAAAGCAGTTATAGAAGCTAAAGGTGGCCATACTAAATATTAATTTAAAAATTTCAAGCTTTTCTGTCCCTTTTTTTATACCCTGGAGTTTCTAACTACTTGAAGGAGTCATCTGCGGTATGGATATATATATATATATATATATATATATATATATATATATATATATATATATATATATATATATATATATATTCTTGCTCAGCGTGAAATTCTGGTTGATTTAGACATGTCAACTCAAAAACGAATTATACAATCGGCACCAAACTTTCCAAGTTATTTATTTTGTGGCAAGGACGAACCCTATTGGAGTTGGAATAAATCGGAGAACGGGTTCGGGTAGCTGCTACACAACTCAAACAGTTTATTTTAAATACTTCAAAAACTAATAAAGGTATAAATATAAAATTTTTACTATATTTTACAAATGCTCTAAAAATTTTATTGGGATAGCTGCACTGGTTCCGGTGGCTGCCATACAACTCCAAAAGCAAATTTTTTATATTCGGCAAAATAATAAAGTCAGATTCATTAAACTTCGCAGTCATGTGTCCAATTATAGGTTAAATATATTTCTGAAGTTTTAGTGGAATTGCATGACAGGTTCGGGTACCTGCCATACAACTCGGGAAGCTAATCTTAAATATTTGGAAAAATAATATAGTCAGATTCATGAAACTTGGCAGTTTTGTGTCCAATTATAGGTCAGACATATTTCTGAAGTTTTGGTGGAATTGCTTGACAGGTTCGAGTAGCTACCATACAAGTCCAAAAGCTTATTTTAAATATTTGGAAAAATAACAAAGCCAGATTCATGAAACTCGGCAGTTATATGTCTAATTATAGATCAGATAAATTTCTGAAGTTTTGGTGGAATTGCTTGATAGGTTCGAGTAGCTCCCATACAAGTCTAAAAGCTTATTTTAAATATTTGGAAAAATAACAAAGTCAGATTCATGAAACTCGGCAGTCCGGTGTCCAATTATAGGTCACACGTATCCGTGAAGTTTCTATAGAATGGTTTTACAGGTTCGAGTAATTGCTATACAATAACGAAAGGTGCAGAGTATCATTCAATTGGTTTATACCGACTGAAACGTTTTTACTTGTTTATTGTTTACTTTTGTTGTATGCTCAATTTTCTGTGTTAAAAATGAAGTATATTTTTGTTTTTTGTTAAATATTTATTGAAAAATTATGGTTTTTTATTTAATATTTTATGAATTATGTAGAAAAATAAACATATTTTCAAAATAAAAAAAAAAATTAAAAAAATATGTAAGCATGTATATATTATTTTAACTTATGTGCTAAAAAAGTAGGTGTATGCTCAATTTTGTGAGTAAGTGTAGAATCAATATGATTGCTGTATTGAACTTTTTTATTAAAAATCGTTATTAGAAACTATAAATAATGTGATTTTTTATATACTGATTAATCATAAAGAAATTATCTTGATTTAATAGAGCAAATCATTTCCAACTTTTTAATGGATATTCGTATTGTTTTGGTGCAGAAAACCATATATTTAATATGGGAACAAAAGATGATTTTCTTATTGCATTGATTGAACTTTTTAATGGATATTCATATGATGTTTGTATAGAAGACCATATTAAATATTAGAAACAAGACGATTTCCTTATTGCTTCATAAAAAGAAAACGTAGTAGAAATTTTTGCATACAATGTTGTGGATTATATGTGTTTTTCTTCTTAACATTCTGCAACAAAAAAATCTTATTTATGTAAAAAATTGTGACAATCTCATACAATTAATATGCATACATGAACCGATAGTAGTTATGTGTCGTTTATGAACAATTCGTTATTTTTGAACAATTCATCGGTATCAAAAAAACATACGACTCAATGAAATAAAAATTACTCGTTCAAAATAAGTCAAATTATACTAAAAGAATCGAATTGTATATACAAATACATACAGAATTTTTATAAATTTTTGTATCATTACAGAAATTATTTAATGTATGTGTATGTAAATGTGGACATATTTTATATTACACACTTAAAAAATAATCTGAAATTTAAGTTTTCTTCTTTTTCTCTTCTTTCCCTTCACTATAGCTTTATTTATATATATTACTTATATTTATTTCTGTATAATATACTATATACAATACGTACAAAAGATTCTTTTTAATGATCATAGTTTCTTTTTCGTATACAAATACAATACATACGAATCTTGTGAGAGTTCTTAGGACTTCTTTATATATGTATATTTTTTTCACATGTGGATTGTGGGTATGTACATACTGTTATATTGTATGTGTTTCGTTCTTACAGTTTTTATATGAGAAGTGCAATAGCAATATTTTTTAAATAAAAATATTATACTGCGCTCAAAATAACGCACTTTTACAATAAGAATTGAAACCCTGTGTTTGCAGGTAATATCATAATATTAATTTCGAATTTTTAAATAAATAAATATGAGTAATAGACTATCTACAAAATAATCTCTTTTACAAATTAATAGAACCAGAGGCAGGTAAGCCTAGAACTCCTTTAAAAGCTTCCTTTGATCTTCTTTTTATTCTTTCTGCCTTTAATTCGCTCCTTTGATTGCGTTATCCAGTTGTATAAAGAAATTTCCATTGAGTTAGTATGGAAAACAATTTTTGAGATTTCAAGGAATTTGAGTCCCAAGTCAAAGGGTTTAAGAAGGTCATGGATATATTATTCAGGACCCTGACACCCTGAAATATTCAAAGAAGACTCATTCCCTGTGGTGGAACGAAGATTTAACGAATATTAATGACTGCTACATAGCGGGGTCGTGGTAGTCCTGCTGAGAATGCCTGAGCAAATATAAAAGGGCGCTCCACTCCACAAAAATTCAGGTTGAGATATCCAAGGAGACCCTAAACTTGGTGGGTATGCACTTCCCAGGCGATATTGAATCAGCCCCAGGGGCTACCCAGCAAAGGATATCTAGAAACAAGTGGTTCGACTCTCCGTTTACATCACACTAATGCAATAACTCACCATAATGTTTGTATAAAAAAAATTTCCTTAGCTAAAAGAGTTAAGCAGTATACCTTATTATTTTCATTTTTATATACATAAGAATTTTTGGGAGAGGGAAAGAGGACGCAATAGATGTCTACCTGTTTTTTATAATGTATTTTTAAAAACGGAAGTTATTAATTTTTTCGAATATAAAGTATAGGGAAAAATATTAAGAATTTTAAAAGCGGGAGTTTTATTTCTGAAACTTATTTCAGTACAAGGTGGCAGAAATGGTGTATCCATATTATAAAAGCGAAGCGATTTAAAAACAAAATTTGACAATCAAAATAAAAAAAAATTATAATTTACATATTATATGTATATAGTTTGAAAAAGACAAATAATATTAACAAAAAACTTAAAATTTGTAATTAGTAATTGTCATTACATTTATTGTAATATAAACTAAGGATTTTTTTATTTTTATTTAAATTTTGTTTTAAAAATTTAATGAAAACTCAACGGATGCTAGACAGACCAGTCTGATCTCCTTTGTTGTGAAAGGCTGAGGCTGCTTGACAGGATGGATACTACTCTTCTACAAAGCTCTCTGATTCACAGCACGTGTGTCGGATGGGCAGATCTACCGACACCGCACTACATGAGATCTTTCGTATTGTGGAACATTCCATTCAACAAAAGCAGAATACTCTGACGGTCTTCCTGAATGTAGAAGAAGCCTTCAATAATGTCAGCTCGCGGGTCGTGCAGGAGTTTTTAGCCAAGTTTAGCGTGGTTTCGGAAATGGTTGAATAATGGTTTTTGTTAAAAAGCTATTCTCTCCGCTGCTGTGAATAATGATCATGATTGATCCTGGTGAAACCGGATAGGAGGCGTGTGAAGGCGGTTTTATATACAAACTACCTTGCCAT